GTTCCAGTTCAGGGATTCAAACATATTGGGTGACCAGGACATTTTCAAAATCGGTCCCATATACCCTGAATGTCAGGCTTCCAAAATTTTTCCCAGTTAAAGAAATCTGCACTCCAGTGTAATGTAACCAATTTGATAAACTTGTTCTTTTCCTTCTTTATAATGCAGAGAGTCCATTCTGGAGAAGCTACATGTGAACAAAATGGCGGTTCTTTACAAAAGGCAGACATTGGCATTAGATTCTCCCCAGAGCAAACTTTTTGAATCGTAGCATGGCTGCATACCTGCATTATGAATGTTGCCCTGAAGTCTCTGGATTTCCTGACACACCATTCTCCTTCTTTCAAGGACTTAGTACTTTTTCAATAAAAATAAATTCAATTTGTGGCTCTATTTCAAGTCAGTTGGTTTGATGGTAGGAGTAGAGCGATACCAGTTTTGGATTTAGAGAGCTGTATGGCTGGCTCTCTTTTCATGTGGTTGCATGAGACATTCTTAGAAACCCCAAACATTTTTGAAGATCCTCTACTGGAGACATTCACAATTCATCCCTCCCTTTTTACCATTAATCCTTCATGTTTTAACAAGCACTAAAGTTAAGGCAGCCTACACTCTTTCCTGTCAAATCGCCCTGCTTTCCTATATTATTTTTCTTGAATAAAGCAATCTGCTCCCTCCAGTCCATACCCTTGTAAATCAAAGGAATAGATGTCAACACATGCCATATGAAAGTCTAAACTTCCTTTTTTTAATTAAATGGGATTTTGACATTTGGTTTGAAGTGTTTGCTTTTCTTTTTTTCTTTTTCCCTTTTTTTTTTTTGCATATACAGAGAGAGAGAGAAATCTATGCAAAGTCTATGAATTGATTTTATTTGGGGGAAATCTCATTTCTCCCTCTGATACCACAAGTAATTTCCAGCTCCAAAATCTGCAATATCCAAGAGCCAGTTTGGTCTAGTGATTAACGCACCAGGCTAGAAACCAGGAGACTGTGAGTTCTAGTTCTGCCTTAGGCATGAAAGCTGGCTGGGTGACTTTGGGCCTGTCACTCTTTCTCAGTCCAATCTACCTCACAGGCTTGTTGTTCTGGGGAAAACAGGAGGAAGGAAGAGTATTAGGTATGTTCACCACCTTGAGTTATTTATAAAAATAATAGGCGGGTTAAAAAATCTAATATCTCTCTATATATTTATCTCCTCCTGTAACTATTAAATAGAGACACAATAATAGAACAAGCAATACAAGCTGACCACATCTGAAAGAATGATCATTTTTTAACAGATATAATTTAAAAGTTGATGCTTTTTACTGAAGCAGATGGTAGATCACTTTTCATCAATACCTTTGCTATTTCACTCATGGATAGTAAACTTTCTTTAAAAAATACTTCAGTAAATCATGTTATGCAATGATACTGTGTGGAAGCAAATGAAAATATCTTGTTTGTGATGATTATAGTATGATTGACTTTTCAGTACAATTTCTTTCACAGGATCTTTACTATATATTTTGAAGGGTACTAACAAGATACATAAAATCTAGCTGCAATCCTGTCTCTTCACATGGCCAGCAAGATGTTTGAGAGAGAGAAAGTAATTTCTGTCTACAGCCATCATGATCTCATAAGCTTTTATGGATATATAAATATAAGCTAAAAATCAAAATATTTCCTTACCTACAGAATCTGAGCTAGAATTGCCATTTTTAAAAGTTCTGTAGTGTTCTAGTATTCTAATCTGTAAGGTATCTAAAGTTCTATTTGATCTGGAAATGATGGGGGAGGTTCTTTAATTTGATTCAAATAATTGTTTCTGTAGTATCTACTGGGGGGGTTGCTACCAGTGAAATACTTTTTCTACAGGACATCCTCCCACTTTGACATGCCCCTTCTAGGGAGATCTATTCAGTGTCTTCACTGCAAATATTTAGACACTGGGATAAACTTCTGTGCAGCAATTAATGTGCAGTACTTTTTTTTTTTTTTTTTGCTGGCTTTCTAATCTTTATATTATCTATATTATTCCCTCAGCTTTTATTTGTGGTATCTTGATTTCTGTGATTGTAAATTAATCTCCATGGTATACATCACTTGGATGGTTACTCATTTCTTACTTAATAGATTTAAGAAATTGAAATTTGTTTAATTGAGATTTGTTTCAATTGTCCAGTCCTTCCCCCACCCCGCCCCCTGCCCAGAAAATCTGGCATGGCAAGTGATTTTTGAAGTTTGGTTGGAAGACTACTTTAGACCTCATAAGTAAGGAAAGAAAAAACTTAAGTCTTTTTTAAACAGTTCTAGGCCCCTTCATTGGAATGGGAAGGGGAAGAAGGGAAAGGGGAGAACAGAACTAGATGGAGATGAGGGGAGGAAAAGAGGTAACTGGACACGTGAGGAAAAAGAAGAGGGAGATCCTCTGATCAGGCATTACAAAAAGGCTTGCAGTTCATCAGGTAAACAACCCCCTTCAGGCTGAACCTTCAATGTCAGGAATCTTTTGTACCTCCCATCCATTTGTTTGCGTTCAACCACATCTTCTGCCCTTCTGAGAGAATGTTAGAAACACACAATCCCCATTCATGAGTCGCTATTTGGAGGTGAGAAATCCTGCTGGGTAAAATATATTCTTGAATTCTTCATATTTTCACAGTTCTCAAATGAAATAGTATTTCACCAACCCAGGAAGCAACATCACTGAAGAAGATACTTCAGCAAATGCAAACCCAAGTCTTGTTTATATTAGTATAATTTTTATTTAGCACTCTTCTTCCTTGCAGAAAGCCATCCCTAAATATGAGCACTGATGTAAGCCACCAGTTCACACTCACCATGTGTATGTCAGATGTGAGCACTGAGCTTGGCTTCCTATCCAAGATAATGCAAATGACTATTTGTTATGAGTGTATTCATCTGCGGTTAAGGGGATGTGCCATCACTAATCCAAATCTGGCCTGCATTAATTATCCAAAATAAAAACAGCATAGCCTCAGCTTGTAGAAAATGAGCATTTTCAGATCTGTTCCTACTGAACTCAGTGATATATAGGCAGTGTAAAAAAAGCTGAGAGCAGGAGTCTTTCTGGATCAAGTCCATCTAGTCTAATATTTTAGTCCAGCGGTATGAGCTACTGTTAAAAAGTATATATTATTCTATTCTATTTCAAAAGATCATATTGCAATCAGTTCATACCGATTCCATGGGCTACAATTCCGTGGGCTAGTTGTGCCAGATCAACAAATAAATACCTGATGCTTGTTCCTTTTCAAATCTTGACTTTACTCAGGATTAGTGTTTTTATATATTCCATTTGCACAGGCTTGCTAATTGTTAAGTAGATAGGGTCAGAGGTGGGCAGCTTTGTATATCAGAAAGTTGCATATATTATATGGTCATGCACCATTTAACCCAGAGGTGGGGAGCATCTGCCCTCTGGAGGTGTCTCCCCCTAAACTGTTACCTGCACAGACCTTAGGTGCTTTACATTTCTTGAAAAATTCTTTTTGCTACTTTCTTCAGTATAGTTTATATATGTATGTATATGTGTGTGTATGGGAGAGAGGGAAACAAAATATATCCAGTACTGCAGATATTGTATTTGAAAATTATCTATCCACTGTCACTTCATACAAGGTTTGTCATTAGTGATGAAAAATATGGTCTGATTAAAACAGTTCTTCCTAACATCAGTATAAAAAGACTATATATCATATCTGGGTTTTTTGACATTTGCTACAATTTGCAAATATGGAGTGGCAGATTATACAGCTGCTTAATTTTAAGGGCTGTCTGCTGGGTATTTCTACAAGCATACTCATGACAAAGAATACCCTTTGAAAATAATAACTACTACTTTTTTGAATTTTATTTGGCATTTGAGTAATGATTAAATGGCATTGCATAATAAAATAGTTATTTAATAAATGGTATAAGAAATTTTGGAAATATTAATTTCCCAACATTAAATTTCCTAAATGGGTACAGTAGATTCTTAAGATTAATTTGCTAAAAATTAGGAAATAGTTGCAAGAGATATGAGCTTGTGAAACTTCTAATGGAATAAAAATAGTATTGAAGGTATTGGGTGGGTACTTTCTGATTATTTTACTGCATTGGGACTGGTCCACACAAATTAGAACCTCTGCCTAAGGTAGTTTTACCATGGATAGCTGTGAGGTTTTACTGCCATCAGTTGTCATTTGAGTTCTTCTAGTCAGCTCAACACACGTCAGTTTATCACTTGATATTTGCAGAATCTAGTAATGGCTTGGATGTGTGACTAAGCCATCTGAGATCTAGCAGCCTGAATAGAGCTTTCTCATAACCTAATTTTATTTCTGTAATGTTGTTCAGTGGAATTAGTTTATATATTCTTCCATAAATAGAACTATTTATTGTCAGTAATAGTTAGCTATATATCATCTTTTGACCCAAATTTAGATGTCTGAGGCAATAAAACAGCCAAATTGTCACTGATATTGGCAAAGAAGGAAGACAATGTGGGAAGTAGAAAGCCGCTTTTGGGTGTGGTACGTGGATACTTTGTGCCATTAACTGAATAATTAAAAAAAGGAAGGGGCATATTATTCCACTATTAAATTTTTGAAAGCATGCACACATACATATACTGTTATGAAATCCTAACTGGTATAAAATATATGTATTTTGCATAGGTCATTCAGTCAATATACACATGTGAACCAACTGTATTTTCCCAAAACTTTTCAATGAATATTTGTCTCAGATATTAATTCAGGATCATTTTCCTAAATGAAAACAAAATAAGGAGACTTACAATTAAAGTACAACCTTTTAATATCCTCTACTCTTTTTCATTTCTTGTAGTCCTCTGTGATGTCTGTCTGTTTTGCCCGCTTTCATCCAAACCTTGTTGTTGGAGGAACCTATTCTGGCCAAATTGTGTTGTGGGATAATCGCAGTCACAGAAGGACACCAGTTCAGCGTACACCCCTTTCTGCTGCTGCGCACACGGTAAAGATTATTTAGTAATTTAAGAAATTAGCAGGATGTCAGCATGTAAAACTGTTTTATATTAAAAATAAGAGCATGCAGTTTTCAACAGAAAGAGTGGGATAGTAGGGTTGCAGATGATTAGTCGGGGACAGTGCCCATTCCTTTCATTTTACTGAAGTCCTAAGCAGCTTTGCTTTCGCTGACACTCTTAGTCCACCCTTCTGTCCATCTGTGGCCAAAAAGAGTTAATTGCTTTAAAGTGGAGTGGAAGATAATGAATGAGAAAGCTTATGGAATAATAGTCTGGAAAGCCTATTGTTCAAAACAAGCCTGGTTTGTTTGGTTCAAATCATGGTAAATTTGCCATTCCAAAAATTGGCAAATCACCTTGTTTATACATTCCAGAGAAAACCCAAGACTAGTATTCCTAGAGTGGCCACTTATATATCAGCTATTTTTTTAAAAAAGACTGAAAGGTAGCATATGTTCATATGCTAAAATACAGCATACATCTTCATAGTGAAGCATCATGTTACAATATTTTCTGATTGGCAACTTTAAGATTCCTGCTCTCCCTTTTTTAGGGCTCTTCATTTTAAATTTGATTTGGAATAGGAAGATTTTGAGATTGAGGATTGTCCTTTGATAACCCTTCATGCAGTGCACACTGCAGCTGTGCATCCATAGAACTTCCCAAGAGAACACTGCCAAAGGTTGTCAGAAAATCATTAAATAACAAAGATACAGTTTCCCAATACAGATAAATTAAATAAAAAAGGCTCTGGTACCAATTTAAAGACAATTCAAAATTTAAAAGGGTAGGGGAAAAATCTGAAACTGGTCTTGCTCCTTCCGGTGGCAGTATAGCTCACTACTCCATTGTACCACATAGAAGGGGAAAATACGCTTACTCCAGAAACAGAGGACTGACCTGTAAAAATGAGATTGAAGTCTAGAAGTCATTTCACAGAAGATGGATTAGTTCTGCTCTGTTGAAAAATCTTTATGTTATGAATGCCTCTTCAAGAAATAATTACAGTCAAATTTCCGTTTTCCAGAACTCAGTGCAATTAAATCTGGATGCAGTGGACCAAATTCTGTTATGATGTATGTTATTTGTGTATTAATATCACTATGTAAGTAACGTAATTATATAATTAGCATAGTTAGGTCATTTCATTGGTGTGATGATATATTCTTCAGTTTAATGGAGAGGTGGGAATAATGGATACCACCTCCCCCATTATTCTGTTAAAATGAGGTTTCACTGTAGTTTAATAATCAGATTGGTTTTTTTAAAAAAAACATAGTAACTATTAAACAGGAGTGTAAAGTTGCTAGGTTATAGAATGATTAAACAGCTAACATTAATTTGTGCTAGAACAATTCATTATAGGATATCAGTGATTGACAATATATATTATGATATTATTGGTTATCTCATTTTTCTCTTATCTCCCCCCCTTAAAAAAAATTAAATGCAATTGTAGGGAGATTGGAGAAGTGCTGCAGAGGCTGTGCATTTAAACTTTTCTTTCTCTTCCTTTTTTTTTTTTTTTTTGGTCCATTAGGAGCTTTGGTCTGATGGAGAGTGGATGAAATACAGGCACTTCTATCATGCCTGTTCCTTCCCTCACCACGAACTGTCTAGCAGTGTGGAAAATGATAAATGAGTTGGGGGAAATCATATCTTATCTATGGTCCTTTCTTAATGAAAATAGTGTCCTTCCACCCGATAGCTGCATTTAGTTATAAAATAACATCAGTTCAATAAAGAATAAATAGATGATAGGATTTAGTGTTACATGCAATTTTGCAATGATTAGTTTATGTAAATACCGATCGGTCTGGATCTTCCTTAAGGGAATTGAAAGCAACCAGGCTTGTTAAAACTAATATAATGCTATTAAAGGATTATTAAATGAAGACTCTTCACAGTATTTATGTCCAGGTGGAATTCGAAAGTCATAATCTGAAAGTTATAACATTTGTACACACACACACACACACACACAATTTTCAACAATTCAGGTAGCAATGCTGTTAATACAAGGCCATTTATCAAAAAGAAACACTTTATCTCAAATTTCTGGAATCAGTATTTTTATAATGAATTGAGCAATGTACATCCAAGAGTTAGTTTTCCAAATCCAGTCATGATATTCTGTTTGGTCATCAAATTATACTTGTATACACTGTCATTTTAAGAAAATTATTTAGTAATATGGGAAAATAACAGACAGTTCACAGGTTATTTAAAATATTGACCTAGTGTTGCAAAACCTGATTCTTTTTCTCCATCTATTGCATTTTATATTCATCTATTTAAAAAAATATACTTTTTCAGAATAAGTAAGAAATATTTAGAACAAAGTTTATACAAAAATATATAGTGATTTGAGTTGGAACTTCAATTTGTTGTATGTGTAGGTATCTGTTGCCTACATAGTATAATCAAATCCAAAATGTCATGTTTGGAAATAACCGATATGACTTCAAGCCATAATGCTCAGAAAACTGATATATTCTCTCTTAAGAAATATCTGAAGTTGTCAAGATTCACCTGTTTTCTTAAATATACTTGTTGAACAAAGAAAGATACCTGAATGCACTGTGACATAATTATTTTGATGGAGCATGCTCAGTTCTGATGAATGTACATGAGATTAGCTGGTCTTCTGAATGAGTTCAGGGACAGTATACTGGAAGACCATTAAAACATAGATGTAACAACAGCTGTCTAGACAAGTGCTGTTCTTATCTTGAGAATAAAGCAATATGTACAAGCTTACAGTAACAAGCTAGCCAGCAATTCAGTACTAAATAAGAATTGTTCTTTGTCCCCCTGATCCCAACTGGAACATACATAACTTGTTGCCACAGGCCACTGGCTTCTAAATTTCCTGAGCTTATCCCTGTGAATTGATGCCAAGGTTCACAAGGAAAGAACCACACCACACATTACTCCCTAATTTTCTTTCACACCCACTGCACATCTGCATTTGGGATAACAGGAAATTTTAATTATTCTTTTTTAAATGAAACCTCTAGCATGATGGTTTCATTTCCAAAATAAATAAAAACAAGATGGCATCTTCTTTTGGGACAGGAAAGAACCCAGTGAGTTTCTCTGAAAAGTACAGTTGGCGTTCCCATCTCCCCCTTTCCCTGCCTCCCACTTGGTATTAGAAACATCCTTTTCAATCTGCATTGAGATTTATTGCTTATGAAATTGACAGCTGACAGCTCTTATTAAAGCCAGGCTTTGCCCAAGAAAGTGCTGTGAGGAAAATGGGAAGCCATTCTCATGCTACTGAATGGTGCCCCACCTATTTGAACTTTGGCCCCTTTTGTCCTTGTAGTTCCAATTTAGGGGACTATATTACCAGCTTGCATAAGCACCATAGTGAGGAGGGCAAATGTCCAGTAAACTTCTATATGAAATGACTTAGGTTTGGGTTATTTCATACGGAGCACATGTGAAAGGCTGCTTCTGGCAGACAAATGAGTAAGAGGCAAATGGAGATATATTTAGACATATTGAAAAGTAGTTCAAAACCTAGAGCCTCAGAATCATGAAGTTCAGTTTGCATGCATGCGCATGTGTACTCACTGAGTTATAGTTCTTATGTGGTGTTTATGGCTCCAAAAGCTTACAAAGCTTATTTCTTCAGGGGTGGTAGTGGGGAGAAATATATGTACAGTATATGAAGTGAAGTTCTTCTCAAATCACTATCAAAATATTACGTGCAAATGTGTTCTTAAATGTTAATATAAACCGTCTGGATTCTTGGAAGGTGGGTGGTATATAAATTCAAATCAATCAATAAATTTCAGTGGTCAGTTTTTGAAAAAGCAGTTCTGGAAGAAGAAGATTTAAAGCAGATGAGGTGTTTCATATCTCCATGAAACCCTCTACAGTTCTTTCTCCCTCTGTGGAGTTCCAATGTGTATATTTGGGAAGAAATATTTGAAAGAAAGGGCAGGGCAGGACCGAGGAACCACATCTGGAATGCTTTGGAGCCAATATGGACAACTAATCCCTACTCTCTCTTAGTAGGGAATGCCTCATGTGACATGGGTATGGCCTGGTAGGACTGGTAACTTAGTCTACACCTTCTCTATATTACAAAAGAAAAAAAAACATGAAAGTCTTGACTGACTAAAGTCATAGTGGGTGATGGAAGTTAATATCTGTGGGCCCATCTGATGCCAATCAAGGTATATGGGAGATTATAACTTCAAATGTAAAAACAATAAATGGTAATGAGCATGAATTAATAAATGAAAGGGGAAAAAAAGAAAACTAAGACAAATGGAAAGGATGTAATAGTTTTGAATGAACATGGTCTGATTTTGTTGAGTGAAGTTGATGAATATAAGTGGGGAAGAATATGTTTAATTATTAATGGAGGGCAAACATTTATGATTGAAAGTATGAATTGGTGTCATTTAGGTTGTTGTAGGTGCATATGAAAGTAGGGGCTGGTGAGAATGGAAGAACCAGACATGAGTTTTAGAAAAAAAAAAGTATACATTCTGAATTGATGTGATCCAGGGGAAAAGTACACGAATGGATGGAAAGTGCAGAAAAAGTGATGGGTCATTTGGAGAATCAAGAATGAATGAGAATAATAACCATTTTCTTAGGAAAAGGTATGTTTTGAATATGTGGTATAAACATAAATTTATTCATGTGTACGGATGGCAAAGGAATGAATATAAATCTAAACATGTGCTTTGATTGTGAGAATTAAACAATAGCAAAAGTAGAACAATTACAGAAAGAGAAAGTGTGAGTTCTGTATGAAAAGGTATTAGAAGATACTTGCTCAACAGAATGAATGGAAAGAGGACTTAAGGAAAGAGAATGAAGAAACCTTTTGGAAGAGAGTGAAAAGAATTATCTCACGGAGTGTGTGGAGTCACACTAATGGGAAGTATGGAAAAGAATGCTTGGTGGAAAGTTGAAATGAAAGGGCCTGGGATTGACAAAATGGATATAAGTAAATGACTGCTGCAAAAATGAGGATGAGAGAAAGATACTTTATATATAGAAAGAAGAAGTAATTGCAAAGAATGTAGGAAAGAGCAGATAAGGTTATGATTAAAAAAGATAGGGAACATGTAAATTGGTTTTGATGGAAATAAAAATGTTATGAATGGAACAGAATAAATTTTATTACAGTCAGTGACCAGTGAAAATTGTTTTGGAAGTGGGTGCCACATAAAATGATGCATTACTATACTCTCTTACCAGCTCAAGATTTCTTCACCTCATTGTGTGGTTGGACAGACTCGGCGTTTCTCGGTCATGAGTCTCTGTCCCTCCACTTCAGTAACAGACTTTTTAAGGATTAGAGTTAGTTAAGGGCTTGAGTCCCAGCTGTTCTCATTAGTCCATGTACATCTAGAATATGATAAACTGGAGCAGTTACTTCAGATTAATTTCAATGAATATTATAACATAAATGGATCCATAATTGAAAACCTTGTTGATATTCTTTTGCTGCTTGAAAATATTGAAAATATTTTATGGAGTGGCCAAAGTGAGTTAAAATTGGCCTGCCTGCCTGCCTGCCTTCCTTTCTTCCTTTTCTGCAGTGAAGTCTCTCGATACATTTTGCCCCATTTGAAGCTTTTTGGCTTCTACTTTCAGCATCAAACATAATCAACCACATGATAATATATGCTTATAGGTGTAATCTATGCTTCTGTGTAATGCAGTGTTTTCACAATGGTAATCATCTCAGTTAGTCAATGACAGCATAACATGAGGGGGCCAGGAGAAAGGGAACTTTTGAATCTCTTACAGGATCATCACATTTTGGCATTCGTATTTGGCAAATGGAGGAGACTCAAGGCTTGCATGACCATCCAATTTCTCTTGCACAACTGAACAGTTAATAAAACGTTTTAATCTGCATTCTCAGATTTTTTTGGCATTTTGTATGTTTTCAGCATCCAGTCTACTGTGTAAATGTCGTTGGAACACAGAATGCTCACAATCTCATTACCGTTTCTACAGACGGCAAAATGTGTTCTTGGAGTTTGGATATGCTTTCAACTCCGCAGGTGGGTTTGTTTTTATTTACACAAGAAGAAAGTGATGGCTGATACCTACTTAATGGAACATCATTCCTAAAAGCTAAAGCCTCACATCCTATGCAGACTAAAACCCATGGATGTACTTTAAAGAGTGCAGCTTGCTTACAGCAATTGGCTCCTCTTAGAGCCAAAACCCATTTCCTCTGCCTCAAATCATGTAATTAGGGTAATGCGTTAATACGCAGGTCAGTTTCAAGTGAAAATGAAGTAAACTGTTCTAAAATACAGGTAATCATGCAAGTTGCCTCCAGTACGTATCACGCTACTCTACAACATTGTTGAGGCAATATAGATTTCATTGTAGTGTAGCATATAGTGAATGTGTAAATTTTCATTTGAACCCAGAAATTGCTATAAACAAAGAGATCACAACAAAACTTAGACAAATATGTTTTTCCTATGGTCACAAATTGTTAGGCAATCTTTCCCAACCTGGAAACCACCAAATGTGAGCCAGCATAAGGAATTTGGGACCGTCCCTAGTTTTGAGGAGAATAAAAGTAAGGGAGGGAAGAGGTACTTTCAGACTTGCAAGATTCTGTTACTGTTACTGTAATCTTGCAGTGTTAGTACTCATGGTTGGTGTTTCTTATCTGGACTAACTTGAAGGGCTGACATAAAAAAAAATATTTTTCTGATGTTCAACCAAAATCTACTTCCTTGTAATGTAAACCAATTGTCTCTTATTTTTCTGGAACACCTCTAGACAATTCTGCCACATCTTGTAGTGGCTGCCCTTCAGATTCTAGGAGACAACTATTATGTTTGTCCACAGTTTTCTCTTGCGCAGGTTAAAGTTCCCAGTGCTTCCAGTTGTTTCTCATAATTTTTTTTCCTTCCAGGCATAATCTTTTTTGGGAAAAAAGAAAGTATTGGTGAGATATAATAAACAACTATAACAATAACAAAATATACTAGTGATTATACAATGTATTTTTAAAAACTTATATAAAAAGCAAGAAAAAGGAAAAAAAAGATGAAATAATAAAATGCAAATCAATAAACAAGGGATTTACAAATGTCATGTAGTTTTCCAATTTATCTTTAGTTAATCATGAGTAACTGAATACATTATATCATTTTCAAAGCCAAAAAATCACTATTAAGCTTTAAACAGAACATAAATATCAGTAACCATGATCAAAACATACAAATCATTGAATGAGATTATAAACTACAATAATTCTATCTGTATTTCTAAAAGTCTGTTCTGATTTGGAAATCCTGAAAAATTAAAGTATAAACTTTAAATATAGACACATTTGGGATATTGTACAAATCCATGTGTTAAATTATAATTAGAAATTTCTAATCTGAATTTCATTCTGTATCAGATATACTTTTAAGGTATGAAGTTATTCTAGACAGTGAAACAGTCCCACAACTTGGTTAGCTATTCTTCCAATGTGGAGATCACATGAGTTTTCCAGTGAAAAGAATATATTTATTATTTATTAAATCTGTCCCCCACCCATCTCCCCCCAATGGGGGACTGGGCAGCTCACAACACATTAAAACAATAAATAAATATACAGTTAAAACCTATAACCATACACATTCACAAAAATAAAAGGGAAAAAAATAGGTGCTTGCTTAGATACCACAATTGGGACTGGCAACTCTGTCACTAAGCAACACGGTTGTTAAGCAAGGCATCATGTGAATGCAACGGACTTACCTCACTTCCGCTGTGGTTGTTAAGCGAATCACCCGCGGTTGACCGTGACTTGCGATTTTGCTGCTGGCTTCTCCATTGACTCTGCTTGTTGGAAGCTGGCTTGAAGTGCACAAATGGCGATTATGTGACTGCAGGACACTGTAACAGTTGTAAACACCCACTGGTTGCAAAATGCCCGAATTTCAAACACATGACCATGGGGATGCTGAGACAGTCATAAGTGTGAGGACTGGTTATAAAACTTTTTCAGTGCTGTTGTAACTTTGAATGGTCACTAAACAGGGCAGTCATTAAGCAAGGACTTTGTGTAATATCTTTGCAGCAATTAGCATGCAGAAAGCTAATTCAGTATACTTTGAGGAAATACATGTTTTAATAAAGTTTAATAAAAGTATCGCAGAATGAAAGGGAATTCAGTTTTTAAAATTTATTTTGTTTTGGTATAAATCATTTTCCAGAATTGTTGTGCTTTATAACATTGCTACTAGATATGAATGAGCCAACCTGCTTATTACTGTTTCCAGCAATTTTTAGAAAATGAATTATCCATTTTAGCAATCAGAACTGGAGTAATATACCAATGATAAAACATCTTATATAAATTTTCTCTAAGTATAATATTTGGGATAAATTTAATATTCCTCTTGCATTAAAATTCCCATTGATGCATATCTGTTACTATATCTAAACTCTGCATCCATTTAAACATACAGCTTTGACTTTTTCCATTTCTGAGTCTTACTTCACCAGTGGTTTATGAATAAGACCCAGTAATTGTTTCAAGTTATGAGTTATAAGATTTTCAAATTCAGTCAAGCGCCTCAAAAGTTCCCCTTTGTTTCTCCTTTTGACTTTCCATCCATGCCATTTTTGGCTAGTGCTTCTTTAAATTTTTGAAACTGGATCTCCTGATAGCTTGTCTGCATATACAACTATGCTCCAATTTCTCTTTATGTAGTGTCTGGAATCCCAAGATAACATAGTCACTCCCAAAATTCCAGTGCTTTTACCTCTTCAACCAGCTTTTCCTTATTGGTTAGGATTGGGTTTAGGAGAGTGCCTTTTTCATCCTTCTGGAAAACTAACCAATCAGAAAGGCCGTTAAGGAATTTTGGGGAGTTTCTTTCGTTGACCAAGTTGGTCGTTCAACAGATACCCGTATAATTAAAGTTTCCCTTATTACTGTGTTTCTCCTTCCACCAAATTCTGTAATCTAGTCCAGGAGGGAATTATCCAGATTTTCTGCCTGGCTTGGTGGTATACACCCAGTAACATCCTTTTTCCCTGCAGTCTCTTGTAGTCGTATTTCATTCATTCATTCATTCATTCATTCATTCATTCATTCATTCATTCATTCATTCA